TTTTGTAGAACCTTTTCAAATATCTTACGGGATAATTTACTTGTCACTTTACATTTTCCGAGTTACAAACCGACACAGCAGAGGCCGGATTTAATTTGGAGATTTAACAACTCGATATGATTAAATTACCTTGTTGTTTGTTTACACACTTTGCATCATTTTGCTCGCTCAAGTCACAAACACTTCTGTCATTTTCGAAGGGAAGCAATGCGATTCCGAGCATCACACTTTCCACAATGAATGGAAAATAGCAATATTTCACGAATATGTTGTTGAAAATCTAAAATATATGGTACCAGGTACATTTTTTTCGCGTGAAATATCACCCGTTTTTCGCTGCCATTTTACGCGGTCTGTGAGGATGTTCTTTCAAGGGCTTAAGTAATCCCAAAATCGATGTGCCCCAAAAAAATCACTCACTAGAGTTGAATGAGAATAGCTGTCCTAATATCTTGTGAAGTTTGGTGTTGATTGATTCCATTTTCATCCTTAAACGGGGCTTGGTTTTTGCAGTTAATTTTTGACTGTGCGTCATGCGGAGCCTGAGCTCCGGAAGCCTGAAAACCGCGTTTTCAGATTTTCGCAAATTTATGAAAATTTAATAATCGCTGAAACTTAAAAACATGATTTTTGAAAATAGTTTATCAAAGGGTATCTTTGAGCAAAATATGAGCAATTCACCAAAATGGTCGTTGACGGACAATTCTCGATCCTGACAGGCAGCCATTCTTAATGATGGCAATATTATTAGAAGCAGAAGAGGAGTTACATAATATCAAATATAATTAAAGGAAACCAAAGATAATCCTTGATATTATTCAAATATACAACATTTGTGTAATATGTTCCTCTGTTATAAACAAACAAAGGAGCTTTCAGTCATAGTAGAAAAATGTTGGGAGAAACAGTGCTCGGAGAATAAATACCACGTGATTGTGTGCACCAATTGTGGGCATGAAGTCGGCTGTGAACGAATGAAAGAGTTTTGCAGCTTCCATGATAACAAGTGTGAAATGATATATTTCAGGAAATACTATCTTAATAAGGTAATATTAAATCTAACCAAAAAGTATAACATAATGACCACTACGAACAAAAATAAGATAATAGCAGTCTTTGAAAAGACAATTTATTACCACAGATCAATGGCAATAGAAAACGGATAATTAATATAAATATGCAAATCAATATGGATTACATAAAAATAAACAAATCAAAGAAAACCCTTTAATATTGTCACGGCTACTGGAACATGTTGCTGCTTGTTCAACATCATCCACATATTTATCATGATTACAGCATCATTACTATTTAGCTTGTGTAGCTAAATTGCCATGTGGCTAAATTGTAGCATTATGAATTGTAGCGTATAGTATTACCGTGTAGCTAAATTGATTATTTTTTCAATCGGACGTACTCAAATCAGCGGCCATTGGATTTGTTCAAACAGTTTTCAAGAAATTGTTTGTTTGTGTCCACACATGATTTATTTACAGCATCATTAGCATTACTTAGTGTGGCTAAATGGATTATTTTATTATTAGCCATTTCAAATCAATATAGACGAAAACAATGTTAGGATTGACGCTCCGAGGATTTGTATGTATATCACGAGCTAGACCTTTGTATCCTTCTTTAAAATGGATTTCATAAATACATATATATTAAGAATTGTGTGACCAGTTGATGTTTTAAAGAGAAATGGGCCCTTTTTGATATCAAATCATTATCTCCACTTGCGAGAGATCCTAGTATGTTACTATTATTATGAGAGAGGTTATTACAATAAAAGTAAACACTTTTTGTTTTATCATCAGACAATTTCTTTGTAATAGGATTATCATCATTAACTGCATCTTGTATTTTTAACTCTTTCGTCATTTTAACTTACCTACTGTGTGGAAATTGAAAAAAACATGAGTCATTTCAAACTTTTTATCTCTCACACTAGATGGAGCATCGTTATGATATCCCAAGATGTCATAAAGTATGATACAAACGACTAAATATTGTGTATAAACCACACCTGACTTATTCTTCCATATTAAATTCATCATCAGATAATTAGGTGTACTAGAGCATATGAACCAATGATCTGTTCTGATCTGCAGATTTATTGAGTGATACCCGGGAAATTGTCCTAATACTACTTCTGGCTGATATGTCAACTGATGAATGGTCAATAGATACAGAGGGGAAGTATAATTCAAATACCACTGTATATTCACCAGCTCTATGTTCATACATGTTTTGTGCTATCCAAATGTAGTTTCATTGCATGGATTTTTTGATCGAACTGATCACTTCTTGATCAATGAATTTAACCCTGTAATGTTAGCTTTATCATTGAACTGCCCACTTTTATTCATGATATATGAAAATGTGTTTTACAAGTCTGCACTACCAACAGACAGCTTTAATCTTTCATTGACATACTCCTGATAACTAGTAGTCATTAATGTATTATTATTATTGTTGATAGTTGTATTGAAAAAACTTACGTCAGCGACCCGCAGATATTAATGAGTGCATGTGTGCTTTCATATGCCTGTGCTTGTTTGACATTAATTATACTTCTGCTCTTCAGATTCAAATTACCACTCATTACTCTTGTACCATCGGTTTTCAAGTAATTACTTGTTTCTGTATCAACATACTTCTTATTGCTTCCATCTGTTGCACTTGTTGGGTCTGCTAAATTAATCACCTTATTGTCTTTCATATCAAGACCTTCTGATACGTCTAAAGTAAAAGTTTTACGGTCAATGTATTTCTTGTTAATCCCATCTTCATCACTGTTATCGCTGCTGTCATAATCTGGTATTAACAACCTCCTTTTTAATGTTTGGGGTAATAGATTGTCCATATCTATTTTCTTGTCTGTGATGTGTTTCATCTGCCCTAGGGTTACAGCTTCATCATCAAATCGTGCTCTAATGAGGTCATAAATAGTCTTACCATCACCATCCCATCTAATACCACTTCCCAATCTCATAAATTGGTTATAATCACTTTTTTTCGGTATGTTGTCTCACTCTATATCTTATTAACAGCATCAGTTTTTGAAGTGGGTGCATGCAAGTTCTTAATACCGTTGTTATTCACGTCTATATCACCCTGGAAAGTCTTAGAGCCATTCAGTATGTTGTTTTCGGTGGTGTCAACGTACTTTTTATTATTGGAATCTGTTGCACCTGATGGATCCTCAAGATTAACAACGTTTTCGCTGTTCATATTCAAAGTACCTGTGATTATCTGAGTTCCATGGAATAATAAAACAGTTAAAAGGTCTGCAAAATCACCACTACCAGATGGCCCCTGTGGTCCTGTATCACCTTCATTACTCTTAGGTCCTTGTGCTCCAGTGTCCCCTTGATCACCTTTTCGACTTCTAACACCAATGTCATCTTTATCACCCCTAGGACCTTGAGGACCGGTATCTCCTTTATCACCTTTTGGACCCTGAAAATCGGTATCTCCTTTTGGTCCTCATGCTACAATATCCCCTTCAATACCTTTAGGACCCTGAGACCCAGCACCACCACTACCAGGTGGCCCCTGTGCACCAGTATCAAGTATCACCCTTGAAGCCTTGTGCACCAGTACCAGTATCTCATTTTAGACATGTATCACCTTTGTCTACTTTTGGACCAGTATCTCACCCTTATCACCTTTTGGTACTTGTGGCCCTGCTGCTCCTTCAACACCTTCTCCAGTTGTAAACATACCCTTTAAAGCGGAGCTCGCTGCGCGCGCAGCGAAGCCCCATAATAATACAAAATAGTAGTAACCCATCAAGCCGAAAAAGTTTGGACTTGACACCGTACGGGTGTCCGTACAAGGTGCTACTTTTAGCATGCGCGGCTAACTGCATTACAGGCACCATCTTAGCCATTACGTAATGGAAGGGCGAAGGAGAAGGTGATGCGCAGACGTGATTGCATGTTTCCATTAGTGTGCGCCAGGACACGCCGGCAGATCACTATGAAGTGCGCATAATCGAGTGCCAAGCTTTATTGCAGCGTACGGCGGGCACACAGGCATTACACGAAGGGTTTACGTGGGCTTGTAGATGTGAGGCCGCGTGAGCAAATAATTTGCAACACGCGTTTTGAGCGGGAAATCAAGTTGGTGAGGCTGTAGTTGAACAGTAATTCTCCGTATTTTGGATTATTTTAATCAACTCGCAAAGCAACAATACCGGCAGAGCTAAAGCTTTGACAACCGCAGGAAATTGTTGTAATTCAAGTTTGTGGAGAGAGGATTTTGAGTGAAAATAGGCTGGAGAGAAATAGACAGAGTGACCAAAGAAAGCAAGAAGTAAAAAGCGTTAAGCGAGTCGAGAAAAACGCGCAAGAAAGTTAGAAAGGACGCTAAAATAAGGAGAAAACGGCGAGAGGAACGCGAGAGAGAACAAGAGAAGGCATATGTAAAAAGGCGAATATACCGCGAAGAGCAACGTGAGAAGTAAATACAAAGAGCTCCAGAAAACAAACGGAAAAGGGGTCACCATCAAAGAGAAGCGAACCACAAAAATTCAGAGAAAGAAGAAGAGGTAAGTCGTGTCTCATCTGGGTTTTCTCTCACGCTAAGGCCCAGAAGAATTGAAATCTTTTTTCCCAATCCTCGTTTGATACTAACTTCAGTTTACAATTCAAATCAAGTTTCGGTAAAACAGTGATGTTTGTAATTGTAGGGGGCACCCCACCCCCACTAAGTCACTTGGTCACGTGATCTGCGACCACGAGGTCGAGAAAAACCGAAGTCGAAGAGAAGATATTAAAAAGTTGTGTCATCGTGTTCAGTGTTCTAATCTTTAATTCGGTTGGACTTCGACAACAGCACTAACATATTCATCGCTTTAAACCCTCGCGCCGGTTCATCGCTCGAACAACATTTCAAAGTATTTGTATTCTTAAAATTATTTATAGTCTTACCATTTGGAATGTTTAATACAGTCGTGGTTTTTTGGGAAAGTAAGTTAAATTACGGATTATGTCTTGCCTTTTTAAGTTTTAAACTTATAGCGAATAGCGTGAGCAAGTTCCTATCATTCTCTCTTCAGTTAGCTATCGCATGGTTGAAATCATTCATTTAAAAAAACTCGCTTTATCGAAGATTTGTTGTTTTACTCTAAGAGCAACATGATATTTTTTCCCAAAATTGAAATATAGTGAGATTGAGTCAGCGATGTTCATGTTTACATTAAGTCTGAAGCGGTGATTTCATTCTGAAAATATTGTCATGTGAGAACCCGTCAAACATTTGAGAATTAAATTCAAGAAATGTTATGTCTCACAAAAAATGGAGCCACTTTCTCTTCGCCCGACATCTCGAGGCATACCTAGTGCTCGGGTTATGATGAACATGCTTGCCACACGATATATTTTTCCTAGTGCTGGAAACTGAAGAACCCACCTCTGAAATTGATAGTCATCACATTTTTCAACAAGCGTCCGAGCTGTGATTGTGTAATTCAACGGGCTCCTGGCAATATGAGCTCACAATCACGCTGGTAAGCACATGGTTAGCGTAAATAATTGTTGTTTACAGTTGTCGATTTCGAGTTTTTGAGAGTTCATTCCAGGATATATTCTGTTGAATTCATTGAGGTACAATCTCGGAATTTCATAAGTCATTATGAACGATAAATTATTATAGGCACCATAATTTTGGGGAGTTTTGTTGACACATTATCAGTTTACAATTCGTGAACCAATTCTGTAACCTGCTTTGATATTTCCCTTTGAATTAATTGAGTCACACTCTTGGAATTTTAATCAGTAATTAAGAATAATAAATGTGTATATGTAGCACAAGTGACGCACATTTTAAACTTTCCATACGATTTTAGGAAACTATACTTAAGTGACTTTCGATAAATTAGCCTTGCATACTGCGTTGATTATTTTATTATTTTGTCGTCCCAAAAGCCCGGCTTATAAATCTAGAGGTACTGAACTTGACATATTTGATACCTAAGTCATCCTTCAAGTAGGAAGGTTCGGACAAAAATTCTTCTACTACCGTATATTGCACCCGGTTTACATAATATTATGTAGATAATTGCTCAAATTTACCTATTGTAGCTGTATTCAGAAGCATAGACATGTAATATGCTTTTGCTTCACTTTATTGTAAGATGTTTCTTTTAATGTAACATATATCCATTCCTTTAATTTCCTCCTTAACCTGCCTGCAAATAATTAAATTTATGTTTTAATTGAAGTGACTGAGAAGATAAAAAAGAAGTGTTGCAGAGCTCTTTTTCCAGAATGAATTCAGGTGAGAACACCAGTAAACTAGTTGATGTCATGTGCTTCTCCTGAATCTTTAATTTTATTGCCCTGGTTTTTTTCACATAGCCTCTTCTATTGCATTGAATATTCATGCTCAAGCTTTCATTAATGCATGGTGTTTCTTACCAATGTTCACACCAAAACTAAACATTGATATCTGGAAACAGTCACAAGAGATGTGAGTTTTAAAGGGTGGGAATCTGGAAAATTAAGGGACCTCCTTTAATTAGGACTGAAATTAATGGGAGCCTTCCTGTTTTAATTCATGTCTTTACTTTGAGCTGCCTTCTTCCCTGTAATAATTAGGGCATGTAGATGAGGAGGACATTTCTTGTATTTTGATGCATGAAAGTTAAATTAATTGGCAACTACATGATGCACAAGGCAAGAATATAAATGCCTTAGCTTAATAGGTTAAAAAATTAAAATAAGAGAGTTGTGCAGACCATGTCTTACTTTTTATTCTCTTTTGGATATTTATCCAAATAACATAGTCACTATCAGTCCCATTCACTCTCAATTTCCACTGAGCTTGTGGAGAGATGATAACCTCAGTATTTGTTCAAATGAAGAAAGGAAAGCCTGCCCTCTTACCACTGATAGTTCTTTTGGGCATCATCAGTACAAACCTGGTTTAATTTGTATATGAAGAATTTTTTTTTGTTCCAGGTAAGCTAACCTTAAAAATTAGATGTGAAAATTTCTTGAACCTGTTATAGTATGAATGTTTGACTCAATTTTACCTCAATAACCAACATATAAACAGAATAAATAGAAACTTAAAATTTATTTGTTCTCCTTTTGAAGTGTGCATCAAAATTTTAAAGTCATCACAGGTTTGAACTATACGTTTAGAGGGAATCTAAAAGAAAATGTGCCATAAAGGAACAGGCAGGTGTTGTAAAAAAGTTTGCATAGCTTTTTCATTAACACACATTTCTTTTACTAAGAATCCTGTTTATCCAGCCTATGCTGAATTCTAATTTTTCTGCCAAATTTTCTTTTCTTTAGAATATTCTTAGATCTCCCAGTATCAGTTAATATTCATGTAATTAAAATAAACCTTCCAGATGAATGGCATATTATTTTTACTCTGATCCTCCTAACATTTTATTATGTGAAGGGATTGGTATTGGCTATAAAACTTCAGTCAAATTAAAGTTTTATGCACAGCTTATGCACCAAATTTATATCATAAAATATTGTATCCTTCTTAAAACTAGTTTATCAGAATAAGAATGAGTTAACCAAAAATGTACGCATGCGCAATGTTTTAGAGCCAGTCCCTGTGTGGTGTGAATGTCACGAAATGTCCTATGGTTGGTTTCTATTTGGTGTGAGACGTCAGGAAATGTTACGTGTGACGTCATCTGCCCAAACTTGCCAACCCAAGCCCAAATCCTAAGGGAGATGTTGTCTAAACTTGTCTAAAACTTGTCTAGGACTTGCACAACACTTGTCTAGTATTGCTCAAGGCTGTCCGAATCTCTAGGGGTTAGGATTTATTATTTGAAGTGAAGTCGTTGTAAATAGAAGTAATCATCAACATGCCTGTGTTTCAATATCCCTACGACTTTACGTGTACATGCAAAATATGTAAATCGTGTATCAAATAGAAAGAAATTCTTGAAGAAGCGGCATGGAATGTATTTATGAGGAACCTGTGGATATTACATGAAAGGATTGGCTGTGGGTACATATCATCACTTGGGTAAAGCTATCAAAGAGCCTACTGAAGATCCGTGGTTAGGTCTGGTAACGAAACATGTGCGACGTAGAAAGTAATCCAAAATGGACTCTTCATCATATCGTTGAGCTTTTGGATAATGTGGAGAAGAATGCTAATGAAGACGACATGACACGAACGTTAAAACATGATTATAGGCTAACACTTGAAGAAGAACAGCCTGATTACATGGAAAAGAGAAATCGAGTGTTTGAGGCCCTTGTGGATTTCATCAAGCTTTTAAAAGAAAGAGAAATCAATAGACCGTCATGCGATTGTCCTGATTGTCAAGATCGTTAAACCAATCAGATTGTAAATAGATATATAATAAAGTGTTTGAAAAAAGGTTCAAGTCTCATTTCTAAGTGACGATGGCTTTCTGCGACGATTTAGAGCGCACGTTAAGAGTAAGTGTATATGAGTCCTATTTGTCCACATACTGTGTATACATTTCATGTGAATGACGAAAAAAAGATGGGTCGCGCGAGTGTGTTACTTCTCCACATTTTGGGGTATGAAGAAACATCGACAGAAGAAGGGAGATACTAATTCATATCACAGGTGAAAGACTATGAAGATGTGTGGATGTTTTTTATCGTATTACGTCTTGTCATGGAAAAACTAGATCACCTGACGGCTATGAAAACTACCCTAGATTACTTATGTTATTGCCAAGAAGGTATTTACAATCGCATTTTGGAAAAAGTAACACACTATGTTAGTCTTAAAGGAGAACGCAAGGAAATGTGGATGTTTACCCATTGGTTTGATTTTGTGAAATTGGGGAACAACCCTCGTCATCATGGTCACGACTTTGAAGATATCATGTCTGCTTACAACGCTTTTCACATGGGTGAATCATCTATTTCG